CGCCAGCACACGCAGCTGGTCCAGCATGGATGCTGGTCCAACGTGGATGCTGGTCCAACGTGGATGCTGGTCCAATGTGGATGCTGGTCCCAGTGACTGCTTAGAAGGCAGCTCCTGTACAGCAGGGAATTGCAGAGATGTACCTGGAGCTCCCCTCCCTCTCTGTCCTCACTCGGGACCCGGATACAACCGCAAAGAAGTGAGAACTATCCCAGTTTAGGACCATCCATCCCAGGCAATCCCTGTTTTCAGCTGTCCAGTTCATTGATTTCTTCTCACTGTTGCTCCTGAGATCTTGACATGCAGCTGATTTGTCTCACAGACAGACACAGCCTCCACGCCCTCCAAAAGAGCCGAGTTGTGCACTCCCCTAAAGAGGATGTGGCAGAGTTAAATTGAGGGAGATGAACTTCTGACATGAAGAACAAATCACAACCTCAGCTGCCTGCTCTTACACACCAAACACGAGCCACAAGCCTTGAGCTATGCAAGGCAACAACTTTAAACAAAGCACAAATGAAAGCTAAGTCTAACACAATTAAAATGTACACAGTACGAAAGAGGAAAAGGTCAGGTATCAATCAGTCATCACCACAACTTTCTAAAGCATATATATCACATATGTCACAGAGCCATTCCCATTATTAACTCAGCAAAATATGGTTCTGTTTTGCAGTGGAAGCACATTTTAAAGGGTAGAAAAGACCCAGCCTCAGAAGTCTGTTCTCTGTAAGACCTGTGTCTTTGGGCAAGGAAGGGCTGGAAGGGATGGTAAGAAGAGGAAGCAGTTGCACACATCTGTGTCAGCTTCAATTAGGAGCAAGTTCCACAAAACAACTGTAAAATTACAGTGTTTTGGTATCACATACCTGAAGAAAAATAGGTTTGAAATTTCCTCCACAGCAAGGCAGAGGCTTGTAGTATCTGTCTACTGAATTCATCAAGATATCAATATTTAGAACAATACCAATATTAACATTACAAAGTGTGGGGGGTTTCCCCAGGGGAAAAAGTATTTGCCATACAGAAGATGAATATTTTTTCCTGCATTTTTTCCCCTTATCTTTAGTAACTGTAATTCAAGAAAACAGATGGGGATCTCCTCTCTTCTCTATTTACCTTTTTAACACCAGCCCATCTAGAAAGTAAATTAGTCCCATGAAGTTATTCCACAAGCCAAGGTGTACACCTCACATCTGTAGCTGTCTTGCAGCCAGCTCCCTCAGAAAGCACCGTAGCTCAGCGTTGGGAATGGGGACTAGGAGCAAAGGATGAACGAGAACACCACTCCCCTGGTAGCCTATTCTCCTCCTTTCAGAAAGACAAAAGACATTTGCTTTACATTTTCCATTATATGGGGGGAAAAAAGTAATTCTTGTACCTAACAGCTTGACTTTCCCTGGTATAAACCATCTGTGGCACTCACCAATGTCAGCAAACAGATGGGGGAAAGCCTGAGGATAATGGAACCTTTAAAATCTGACACTTCCAGGTTAAAATATCCAGAGACAATTATATTGCAGAGATAATCATATTGCAGAGATAGATTTCAGAGATTTTTTTTTTTCAGAGATTATAGATTTCAGAGGTGAGGAAAAAGTACTCCTTTTTTAACTGCAGCTGATTTTCCCCTAATTGCAGAGTCACTGGGCCAGCATGGCCACGCTCAGCAACTTCTGCTCCTGGCCTAGAGAATCCCCTTACCACTCATGAGACATTAACCTCAGGGGCTTCTCACCCTACCCCAATACTCCAGCAACCAAATCTGTCTACCACATAGATGTTTGTGGCCTTAACTACTTTAATTCCTACCCCTTGTAGGCCTTCTGCTCCAGAGTCATCACATAGAAGATGATTTTTTCAAATATTTTTTTAAGGAAGGGAAAATCTCGTCTCCTGTGTTTATAGCACAGCTAGATCAACACTCCCAAACATGAAATACATACTCTTACCATATGGCAAAGTACAAGGCTCAATCATATAGTTTTCTTTCAGTGGCTTCCATTTCTGTAATTTTTTTTTTTTTTTGGTAAGTGGAAAAAATTGGTTGTGTAACAAAGCATACCTGAAATAGAAACCCACATCTATACTGGAAAAAGCTACACATCCCACCTCTCAAATGCCAACTAAAGTCATGACACCAGAGTCAGGATGCCATTTAGCACTGCCTACACTCTTTTGGTGCACAGCGTAATAAGCATAAGGGGATGCTTGTTCTTTACCTGTTTCCTTCCTCTCCATACAATCTTCTTTGCTGTCACAAGCTCCCTTTCTCACAGGCCAGTTAACACTCTGCTTCGGTCAGTGGTTTAGAAATATTCTCCACAGTGGTTTCCAGTGAAGCTTCTCACCTCCTTTCTCTCCTGGTTACCAGCAGCACTGGCAGATTTTACTCTCAGCGCAAGGGAGGATGATGCAGAGGAGTGGAGTTGCCGGGGGAAGTCCTACGACACATCCTTGTTCAGGTTTGTGCTGCCCAAACTTGCCCCCACTTTGTTACAGACCAGTGGTCTGCAGGTGGAAAACACAACTTGAAGTCAGGTCATCTCCTGCAAAAGTTAATACTGTCATGGGACTGTGGGCTTGCTGATGAAAGATCTTCATTATCTCACCTCCCCAGCGTGGCTTAAAATAGAGCCTAGTGGGGAAACTCCTGAAGGTGGAGTGGCAGAGCTTCTCCAGGCTGGGAGAGCATGCACACCAGGACTTTGGGCTCCTTATTCAGTGTCCAAAGGTGCTGTGTGAAAAGCTGAGGCACGGCACTACAAAACAAATGAGAGAAAGGGAAATAAAATTAAAAAAAAAAAAGTCAACTAGCACAGAGTGTGCAGAAGTGTCAGGAGGGGACACAGGAAGCCTCTCACTCCCCGCCACAAGGACTTGGCTGCATATAATCATGCCACAGGCCACAGCCTTCTTCCCACCCTGTGGCCTCGGGCTATGTACATATGGCTATGTCCATGCATAGCTAAAATACATATGAAACGTCTTAATTTGCTAAAAGTGTCTGTGCTGTGGTCACGTCTGTGTGTGCACGTTGCTACCTGTATACATATTTTAAAAAATCAACATCATGCACACACTTTAAGAGCTGCTGCATTTAAGTGACAAGGTATGCAGGGATGCTCAGCTGATGAGGTTGCATCATCCATTACACACCGTTTTCCACACGGTTTATTGCCAGAGCTAGTTTATGACTTCTGTAATGGCACAGAGACCCTGGCTAAGGGATTTTAAAAATGCATTCACAGGCATACACCAGAAGCACCTTGGAACTATATAGGCTTCCAACAAGGCCCTTTGCACAGAATGATTTTTCCCGAGTAAGGCAAAAGGGTAAATTTTTCCTCACTCAGAAGACAAGCTGTGGACAACTGCGTACCTGCAACTGAACAACGAAGAAAACAACCCTGTTCAAAGCTCAGCATCTCAACCAGGGTTATGTACAGATGCTATGAAACTTCTCTAACCTAGCTTTGATGTGGTTAACAAGGGCACAGGGAACAGTGATCTCGTTCTGCCCATAAGGGTTCCTGGCTGAATGCACACCTGGACAGTCAGCTTGAAAATCCATTTTCACTGGAAAAGACATTTTGATCCGGAAGCTTTGGACTAGCAGTCTGTGGTTCTTTATAGGTTCTCAAAATACACGTTTCGTGATCTCCTCAAATGTCTTTTTCCTGTTCACACAACGCAGTTCTGAGATGACTACCAAAAGAACTTTTGCTCTTTCCTGTGAAACAGGCAGATGGCATCGGCCTGGCAAAGAGCAGGAAATGGGCACTATAGGTAACTGAGCAGGTCCTGAGAGAAAACCCAGCTCTGGCTACACTGCTGTCGAGGACAGGGAGAGTTCATCCTGACTTGTGAAAGAGATTTTTATTTATGAAAATTAGATTTTTTCCATCCCCCACCTCGATGTAGATCATTTGTTGCTGATTTTAGTTTTAGATTGACTGATTTTGCATTTTACTACGATTTTTCTCTGTGTGCTTTAACCATCTAGTAAGCAGCAAAGTGAGCTTTGCCAATGAATTTGGTCGCGCTTTCACTTTAATATTAAACCTGCTTTTGCTGATTCCTATGCTGGTGATTCTTTGAGAAAGCTAAAACACTCACTCCTGACAGAAAATCAGCATTTTCTTATTACTGAAGGGCACTTACCTCACAGAATGCCTAGCCTTGACTGTGTGTCCTCCATAACTGTACGTACCTCTGTGATAACAGTTGTCCTTAATGGATAGAATGTGTGGGTATTTTGAGCTGGAATTTCACTAGGTGTGTTCGTGTCCCCAGTTACCATGGATATACACTTGATTCTCCCTCCCTCAATGTGAAATGTCTCTCTGGTGTCTTATTACTTACAGACCTGCTGCAAGCACCTTTTATTTACGATCTTTCAGCTCAAGCACTCATTTTCACACGTAGTTGCAAAGCAAGCTATTTGGAAACAGCTTCTATGCTTATACACAGCATAGAACAAAGAACTCTGAAGAGTTAAAAATCTCTCTGAGCTCAAGAGAAGCGTCTCTTTAAAATTCCTGCTTCGTATTCCAGCGCCTCGCGAAACCAGAAATTCTCTCTCCTTGGTCTCTCCTGAGCTATTCCTTATAGTTGCCAGGAGGTGGAAACATAGCTACACCGACCTGCAGGAGAAGCACCGTGCTGGTGTGCAATTGTGCAGCACGCTGCCTGCTGAAGAATGGTGCTAAAAATATCTGCAGTCTGAATTGGCTCATCGGAGCCCAAAAAACACAGGATCATAGAATGCTCTTCCTGAGCCCCTCCAGGTCCCCCTTCCCCCAGCCAGCAAGAAATCTTAACGGCTTGTTACAGATGCCCTTTTAAGCAGCTGCTTCTGTCAGATGTGACATACACAATTATTCCAACAAGAATCCAAATTCAGGCTGGCTTTGATGGAAAAGCTCCTGCAGCAGCAGCAGCCATCGCAGCCCTTCAGAACCGAGCAGATATCTGGCAAAGTGATGAGGAGATAAGTCTTCACTTGATTTATTTATTTAAAAGATATGTGTCTGCTTTGACATTCAAAAATGTTACAAACATGTCCAAGTACGAAAAACATGGCAGAGATCAGAAGTGCTCATCAGACAAGCTTTAGTCACTACTGAAACAGATACAGATGTCACAATCTTCCCTTTGTCATTTGGTGCCAAATTTTAAGTCCTGAGAGAGAAGTCCTTTGACAAAAGGCAAATTTATATAAATACTTGGAAAAGAGGAGAGGGACACAGCACTGTTAAAGGGTTGTAGACAAAATAACCTTTCAAAACATCCCAGAGTTAGGGTAAAACATCTCAACTGATTTTGGTTTCTTTTTTCAGAAGAGTGAGTTTGACACTGACTTCATTCCTGCTCCCCTGCCTTAAGCTCATACCAATGAGAATATTTGCATCTTTCTCAGAGCAAACTGAAGAGCACAGAGAATGGACTAGAAGGATGTGAGGAGATGTTTCAGAGGAGAGAGGAACACAGGATATCCTTCTTTGCATAGAGAGCTGTAGAAGAAAGGAAAAACCCTCCCTGCATGGGAGGCAGGTCCCAGAAAGTACAGCTGGAAAGAAACCATCTCTTCATTTCAAAGAGCACAATGCTGAGAAATCTGTTGCCTCAATGAAGGCAAAACCTGGAAGAACTGACATTGATGTCAGAAAATTTCAATTCCAGGACTAGAAAAGTCGTGTAGAAATTATTCTTCTTTCCCTAGGAGGTAGATGGGGTTAACAGGTAAAATGAATAATCCCAATGAACCAGTACAAGGAAGTCCAGAAATAAATCCCCCAGAACTTTGAAGTGTCCATGAAGCACCACGTGAATCCCAGACAAATCACGTGCCATGGAACGAAGTTGCTCTTACAGCATCTCAGGAACATTAGCTTGTTTAAGCAAAGCAGCTCAGACTTCACAGGGTCTTCACAGTATGAGTCCTTGGGTGGGGAAAAAAAAAGACACACACATAAAGGAGGAAAAAAAAAATTACTGGTGTTCAGCAGCAAAACCAAATTAAATTAATTGACCAATCCAAATTAATAAAGCACAAGCTTGTTCAAAAAATTAGTAATGGAAGATCACATCTCAGAGTTTATACTGAGGCTTCATCTGGCCAAGGAGGAAGATTTTCACACATCTAAATCAACTGACTGCTCAGAGGCTCAGTATTTAATTTGCAAGATACCTTATGTCAAATTAGCACACAACTCCACATTCTCCTAAGGCCACACAGGAGGCACCTGAAGTCCATGAAACAACGTTCCTGGGCTCATTCAGTGCTCTCTGTTTTGGCACAACTAAGAACAGGACAGTGAGCCAGGTGACTTCTGTGGATGTTGGCTGGAATCCAGCTCAGCTACACCTTCTGCAGAATCCCTCAAAATTAACACCAGTGCAAGTTAGTTGGGATCACTTCACCTTCCTGCTGGGGGAGTTTGACCCTGTTAACCTCTATGGGATTATTACAAGGGGAAAGGGGTGTCATTAAATATGAGGCCCATGCCAGAAATCCACCCAAGTGACTTGTAATTGTATAAAATCGATCATAAAACCTATTTTCAGAAAAAATATAAATGCATATATTCTTACCTTTGACACACACAATTATCCAGGATACCATGACCACAGCCCACATCTTCTCCAGCCCAGAATCCACCCTCAGAGCTTTGTTCTCTTCCAGGTCAACCTCTGTCCTCTCCGTGGAATTGACAATGTTCACATCTAATATAAAGATGACCAACATGCAAATAAAAGTCTGCAGAACTGCATCTTTCCTTACATAAAAATTGCTTCCAAAAAGGGGACTGAAGGCATAATTTTTATTTCATTTTTTAGTCAAAATATTTCAGAGAAAAAGAAGGCAAAAAATGACTGTAATCCCTACATTTTAACAAAGCTGGGGAACAGCTTGGAGGGAATATGAACTGGTTTCCCAGCCTAGCCCAGATCAGAACCAACCCACAAAGCTCTAGGATCTCACCACCTTGGCTAGTGAGGCCAAATAGATATTCCCTTCTTCTGGAGGTGTGGAACTGAAGTCACTTGGCACAAGTGGAGGGCACCACACCATATGATCAGTTAAGACCCACGTAGAAATGATTTCACAGGGGCACTGCCATTGTGTGTTTCAGCCTTCCCAGTCTTCCTGCACAGTATTTTTCCTATTCTAAGCAACGAAGCAAGAGAATAAAATTCACCTCAATAAGAACAAAGTAATTCACAGTGGTGGCTGCTGTATTTTAAGTCCCATTCCCCCTAAGCACCAATCCTCGCTGAGGTCTCTGTATGCTGCAGTGAATTCAGGAGGCAATAAGGCCAGGCTGTTTACACTCACAAAAGTCTCCATTTAAGGAAATGCATATCTATGCATTTCTCCATTTTAGAGAAAATGTCTTTGCTGCCTGTGAATGCAGCTATGGCTATAAACACAGAACAGATGCCAGGTGAACAGGGGCAGACCTGCACCTAACCCGAGACTAACACACATTTTCCCACGCTGCTTTTTCCACCCAATTCCTTTCAGCTCTGGTAACGGTGCCCAGAGTAGAAATCCCACGGGAAACTATTTCCATTAGTTCAGAGACATCCACAGCCAATCTAATACAAATCCCCAGCATTTTTCACGTGTCAGTCTTGCATTTAGCATGCACAAATGAAGAGACAGAGGAGCATGAAGCTTATTCCACATGTCACAGCGTGGCAACGATCAATTCTAGTTTCACGCCCTGGGAGGAGAGGACGCATCTCCATGAACACAGCTCTTACCATGCAGAAATTTTGCTTCAGACACAACCATGTCATCTCCCAGCTCCCCCTGTAGACAAGCTCCTACCTGTTACATTCACCCTGATGAAGTGGCCCACAGCAGTCAGGACAGTGTTCTTTATTTTGGCCCTGCACTGGTAGCGGCCGCTGTCTGACTGGTTGACTTTCTGGATCTGCAGCAGCAGTGAGGATGTGACTTTAGCCCTGGGGTCCGAGTTTTGTGAAAGGTGCAAGCTTTCCACCTCCTCCCCAAACGCAGTCTCGTTTTGCTTATTTGCTCTTTTATACCAGTGAGCCTCGATTTGGGACGATTCATTCTGCTGGTGCCCGATGAGGCAGTTCAAATTCAGGCTCTTGCCTTCTTCCAGGTACTTCGTGGTAGATGCATAAATGATTTCAAGCATGCTGTGTTCTGTGGTGGGAGAGAGCAGACATTAGCTGAACTGACTTTTGTGCCAGGCCAACTCCTCCACCATCCCCATATTTGTCCACTTGTTTCTGCACTGTGACAGCAGGGGCTATCTTATGCTTCAGGTGTGCACAGACCAGCCAGGATAACAGGTACCACAGTGAAAACAATATTAATTCCCTTGCAAGAAAGGAAGAAAAACCTGTTTCTTATCCTGGATCTTGCAGAATATTCTCTATAACCTTCACTAATTTTATAAAAATGGAAGATAAGAAGAGGAAAAAAGAGAAAGTGAAAGCATCAGAGGAGAGGGATATTTGGGTGGGCTGTTGTTTTTACCTCTTCAACTTGAAGGTTTGTGCTTTCTTCAAATATTGAACTGTTCCATGGAAAGAAAATCTAAAAATACTGATTGGCTCAAAATACTGCTTTTTTGGGGGATCAGGTTTCACCTCCCAGCTCCCTAGTCAAAAATCACCATAGAGAAAACAGAAGACTGAAATTCATCCTGCAGAGCGTGGTTCAGTGAAAGCTCATTGCAATTGATGTTCTTTATGTTCCATAATCCAGGCAGCATCTCTTGGCCACACCAAGTAACTCCTAAACTGGACTGAAAAAATGCCAACAGTGTGCTCTGCATTGCCAGGGCTCCTCCTTACCTGACACCAGCATTGCCAGAGCTGCCATTTGGAACACGAGGACAGGACTGCTGCCTCCCGCCCTAGCGAGGAACCCTGGGATCAGAGTCATCTTCTGCACTAAAAATGGAAAGAGAGGAAAAAAAAACAGAGGCTATTACCTGTGAGTTCTTGTCATGGAACTGAGAAGAGCCACTATCACTCAACCTGGTGCTGCAAAACCCGCCCTAGCACTTACAGAGCAGTAAAACATGCACAGACCTTCCCCTGAAGCGATCTCGTAAATGGCAAAGCAACCCACTGCATTTAAACAGGACACCGACAGGAAAGCACAGATGTCTTTAAAAGAAGACCACAAAAAATAAAGAAACCAAACAAAAAAACAACAAGACAACAGATGTCACAAGCCAGAACACCCACACCCACACGCTATGAGTAAACTCAAGTTGCAGCAACAGGCTAATTGAGGCTCAGAGGGCACCAGCCAACACAGCTGAAATTTAGGACTTGAACACAATCACACAGTTAGTTACTGCTGCAGCTTACAATGAATTGAACAGCTGTCAACAAATTCCTGAAAGCTAGCAAAATTCCTTCGTAATTGTTTGTCCTCCTCAAGAGGGCACCTGTATCAAATTATTTGGCCAGTACAGGCCAAGAGCCTGACTCCCAGAAAACTGTCTCAGAACACTAAAATGAATGTACAACAAGCTACTGGCATCTCTTTTTCAATGATGAAAAAAAAAATCAATTCTTATTACTTTCCTAATTTGTACTCTAAGTAGGAGAATTCTGGAAAAATTCTCCCACTTAGGAAAAAATAGAGAAAATCCGAAAGAAAAAAAAAATAGTGCTTACCACAACATCCTCCTCTTTCAGACTAACATTAGAGGCAGGAGAGCTTCTTTCTTTCCTTCAAAATACAGATTTTCCTTTTTTCCCAGCAAAACAAAGCTGTCTTTTAGAAACACCTCTAAGTGCCAGGACAGCAAGTGGGACATGGCACGCTGCTGGGAAGGAGAAAAGTGAGAGGGGTTTGCTGGGCCTCCATTTTCCAAAAGGGTAGGTGCCTAGGGAGATTCTAAGATTCAAAAAATAACAAAAAAAAATTGAATTTTGTTTCCTTGGGGATTGATTTTTTTTTCTCCTCTCAATTTAGCCAGGGTAGGACTTCTGCTTGTTCCACATTGCCCAGTGCTTGTAACCTGTGTGCTTGTGTCCCGTGTACTTGTGTGAGCTCAATCAGTTCTTTTGGGTCTGATCTGATCTTCTTGTTGGCAGGGAAGGACAGCGAAGTGGGGGGATTGAAAATGACAATCAAGCATTTATCTGTACTTTTCTCTACTTCATAGGAATTCCTGTGTAGGCTGCACTTGCAGGAAGTTGAATGTATGGTTGGTTTCTGTGTTATTTTAACTACAATATATATTCTTCACGCATTCTTATCTTTCATCTCTTTATTGGTGTTCTAAAAGAGTCCCCACACACTTTCTGGTGTGAAACTTCCAGTTATGGGTCAGCTACCCAGGACCAGGAGATTTTATTGTCTTTTACTAAGGCAGTGTTAGCTTAGCTAACATTTCCTCTCCTGATGACCCAGTAATTTTCAGACACTTCACAGACTTAGAAGAGGTTTCATTTTCAGAGCGCAGACAACAAGCATGAGTTCAGTGGCTCTTTCAAGAGCTTCAGAGGTGCACAGAGCATAGGGGAATTATTGATGCTGCCAGTTCAGTCTCTGTAGCTCATTGAAGGAATCAAAATCCTTCCTATTAGCAAAAGGTTCAGTGACCCAGACATATCTACTGAAAACGTACACGCTCTGTGTGAGAAAAGACATCAGCTTCCAGAGCTGCTTCCAAACTTCCTTAAGAAGACACTGCATCTGGGAAAGGTGCTGGCTTGAGAACTCAGACACATGTACCAGCCACTCACAAAGTATGCACAGTTCAGAGAGCAAGATTAGGTGTTTTTTTCTCTTCTCCTTCCACCTTCTCGTGCCAATCCCAAAGCAATCACTTCTCCTGCAGAGCAAGCAACATGTTCTTTGAAGTCCATTGAGCATTGGGCCTGTCAGTGGAGTGTGATCCTTGTTACTCAGCCTTCACAGTGAAGCCTATGGATACATATTCATGAGCAAACGAGACTGGACGTGTCTCTGAGGTTTCTTCCTCAGGAGCAGGGCAGTGAACAGCCTTTTCACTTAAGAAAGGCCTAGGGAGGCTTGAAGCCAGCACTGTGAGCTGCATGTACCTTCTCAACAGGCGCTGGAGATGAGTGACACAGGAGGACACCGAGGGTGCAGTGGAGCACCCCCAGCACACCCACTGTGTTACTTAAAATAGGGCTTGAAAGAGGAAAAAAATCCCCTATTTCAACCATACAAAAGGAAAAAAAAAAACCACAATAAAAGCAAGTAGCAAAGTCCCTCTTTCTGAGTAAATCTGAATATGTGCCCATTTGTTTTAAGGCAAGAGAGATCTCCTCAGGTGGTTCAGCTTTAGTAAATCCATCAGATTCAATACAACAGTTTAAAAAGTTTCATTACAAGATTGCAAGGCAATCAGGTCTAGGAAAAACAGAGATCACAGGAACACACAGTATGTTCTCCAGTGTCCTCCTGTATTCTACGCATTTCCTGCTTTAAGAACGTACCTTCCTCATGAAAAAAAAAAGGATGTTTTTAGCTCTGGTGTGTGTTTATATTAAATCAGAAGATTTAAAAAGTGATAAAATTTAGCTATTTAAATACTGATATTTTTATACTACTTTGCTTAACAAAAAAAAAAGAAAAAAAGAATAATGGGAAAAATACATACCCAAAATAAAACCCATGTCCTGAGCCTGTTTTGGACTATCAACATCCCACATATACATTCATGATAATCAAAGAAAAATTGAAGAGAACACAAAGAGCTAGGAAATTTTGTACCTCAAGATATATGTATTCTGTAACTGTAAAGAGAATAGGTCCAGGTACCAATTAGTGAAAAGATGCACCTTTTTTTTTTTTTAATCTATATAACAAAATTAATACTGTCAATCAAATAACACAAAAGCAAGCAAACCTTCAGAAATCAACACTCCACTGTTATCTAAGCTGATTGAATGTATAACTTCACAGTATTATAGTGAATCAACAGACTAACATAGTCAAGTGATCAAACCCCTTAAACTAATAAAATAGATTATTGCCACTCACTAAGTTAGCCCTAGGAGAGTTTAAGACAATGACAATATCCTTCAAATTCCACTTCCTTACTTAATATAAATGCCTTTTAAGTGTCCACCAGCTACTTTTCCCTTACAGCTTACTGTCACTAGACATAATTACAGAGGGATCATATTCTATCATTCCCTTCTTCAAAAGGACACAATGGGCTTTAAAGAAGGTATGATAGCTAAATCTCGTAGCAGCAGCTTAAAATACAACCATTAACATCAGAGAATCTGAGTCAGTGAGAAAATGTGGTATAAGTTTAGGAAATCATTAAAGAATTCTGTTGGGAATCTCTCATGTGCACAGACAAGTGAAAACCAAGAGATAACAGTGTAACTCCCCCCTGCAAAGGCAAAACAAAAAAAACCCCAAGAGAGTAGGATAAATTTCTTACTGCTTGACTTCTTGGGACCTTGTCACTGGTTATATGGACTCAGCCACTGTGGAACTTACTGCCACACACACAGGTTCCATTCAGGCTTATGTTGGCTCCCCCAGTCACACAGGTCTTTAAATTCTTCTGCTGGGTGACCTGCCCAAGGAAGCAGCTTAATGTAACTAAAGTTATGTGTGTGGATAACAGGATTTTTCTTTTCCCCTCTCTGGTCTTTACTCCTTGAGAAGGCATGTCCTGCTCGTTCCAGGTCCGGATCCACTTCAGGATTTCAGGATCATTTAGTTTTTTAGGCCCAGATGTAGCCATGTCAGGGTGATCAGGATGATTTTCAAGACAGGCAATAAGCTAAGATGCAAGTGCATATTTTCTAGAAAGTTTGTGTCGTCTTTCAGTTAAATCAGGGTCTGCTGTCACCAAAACCAGTTTTACTCCTACAAACCAAACCAGCCTTATTTCCAGGTATGCATTTTATGGAGATTTATCCTGTTCTTAGTACTTATGTGTGGTTTCCTGGTAGGATCTGTTCCTTGTTTGGAGGGAATTTTAAAAAAGACTAAATGTAAGCCCACACAAACTCTACTGGCTTTTGCAGTATATTAAAATAATTTAATTTTACACGACTTTTTTTTCCTCACACTAAAGTAATCTTGGGTTCAAACAGGGTCTAGATATATATCCCTCCCAAAGTTTCTAACACTAGTTTTCAACAGTTACACAGGAAAAGGGCTGCATTCTGCATTTTTGCAGCGCCAAACATAGCAGTAGCCATTTCCTTTTTGTGATAACAGATAACGAGACTGTCAATGCCACAAAGTGACAAGACCTAATAAAGACCAGGCGTTATCCACCCTCATGTTTCTATTATAAGTTCTATAAGCATCACATAAGCCTCATCAGAGCAGAACAAAATAGTTTTTCTCCAACACAAAAGCAAATATGCAGTGACCAAGAAGATGGAAATTTCTGCAGAAATTTTGTATTTCTCTTTGCCTTCCAGGCTACGTTCAGACTTTCTATTGTGTTTGCTAATCTCAGAAAGGTAAATGAATGCTATTCCAATTTAAATCCCCCTTGCAGCAAGAGTGGATGCACACAATAAGAAATCTGAAGCAAAATTTGGTCCTAATTATCTGAGGATAGTGCACCTTACCCCTCCAAACACCAGTTCAGCCTCATCTTAGGATAAGAAAAATTTTCAGAATAGTGTCTTTACTGACAAAGTAAAATTAAAAACTCAGTAATGCAGAGGTTAAGTCAGAAATTAGGGACATTTCCAGGATGGATTACAGACTTGGGGGGGATGGGATGAGGTGGGACAGGCAGCAGGAAGAGGAATGGAAGGTGGGAAGAGAAAGAAATTCATGCTTACTGCTGCTCCTGCTGCTGCCTTAGGCCTGGATACTTCCTGTCTCACTGAGCTGTACTTTTTTGAGGAAGAGTATATGCTTTCCCTGGTGATTGTACAAGCATCTTTTCATCCTACTCCTTGAGGAAAATAGTGTAGGGAAAAGTAGACATGGTAGTTATTATTTATACATTTCAAAAGCTTAAAAGAAAAGGAACATGGTCTACTGTCAAATTCAGAAATCTATCTCCAGAGGGCAAGAAATGCACATACAACCAAGATGTAAGGAACTTACTCTGTTCTTTCATAGGTCAAGGATAAAAACCTGTTTTATAAGGGTACATACCCTAGTAAAAAAGAAAGCTCCAGGTGCTGGGTGGAAAAAGCCAGACTTGTAGATTTAGGATATTATTTTTTATGTCTCGGCATCTTCCATGTCCAAAGAGTACTGAA